AGAATTCGATTAGTAGTAAGTACTAGACAAGCAAGAGATCGACAAATGCTCAATGATCAATTAATGTGAGAATCTCAGGTCTAAATAGTTTAGCAGTAACATCTCAGACTATGTAACTGGATAACTCGGATTCAAATATGCCATAGAACATCAGTTTCTACAAGATTGTAGGCACATCCTGCTAACGAGTGTCAACAAGCACGAAACCTAGTTCAGAGCTTCCTGACAACTACCTTCAACCATCTAATATTCAAATATATCAAACAAAATAAAGTGACTGAGTAATTTGACTAAGGATATGTTGTTTATGAAAATTCTGGCAATTTGTGAAAACATATAGTGCTAAAATTCAGTTTATATATAAATGATATCAGATTGAGAATTAATGACTACGAAATTCCAGTCTTTTCTGAATATGTACCTATGATTGGAAGGCTTTAAAGAGAATATACGTGCTGGTGAACACTTTCCTAAATGGCTAAGCAAGAATATAATTAAGATAGTAGAAAGCTCAATCTAATTATATTCAGGTGAAAAAAGACTATAAGTTAGTCATTTTCAATAAACTGCCCTGGTGGTAGTAATCTGCCAAAAAATGATCAGATTCCGAATACTTCGAATGAGAGAATAAATGGTTGAATAAATAATAAAAACAACAGGAGCTCTGCAAATATGAGAAGGAAATTAGACTTTTCCCACTTTCATCAGTAGATAATCATCTCGATGGTACATATACCCTTTGCATTTTTATAGATTTTGAGAACTTATATTTATATTTGAAACGATTATAACTTCATGTCGAATATTTGATTTGGTTATTAATTACAATATTACTTATTTCATTCAGATATTTTGGTTCTACTAAGGGTAACAACTATTTCGATTAACGATAAAATAACTTCACATAAGAACTGAATTATCATAGCATTTACAATATGGAAATTTTTTTGAATTTCCGAAGTGACTATAATAAGAAACACTGAATATAATGTTTTAAAATGATTATATGAAATTTTAAAAACAAATGAAATGTATACAGTCTATCGGAATTATTCAGTAGTGTTATGTCCCGACAAGAATAATGAATGGTAACTTTGGGGATCCATTTATGGATCAATACTAAACGTATATTTCTATTGTATGATTATTAAGTAATTAAACTATGCATATTCATATTCCTCTTATTATAAGCTATATTTTGATCCATAAACTATTATTATACGTTCACCATTTTTGAGTTATACACAGTATATTAATTACTACCTCCCTCATTCACAGCTACATCTGGCTAATTCTTGTACGAATGTTGTTTCATATTCTATGGTACGTTGTGGTCTGTTTGATTGGTATATAAACCCCGTATGTTTGAAATAAATGATTCATATTACAAAGGCTGAGATTGATGTTCTGGACTGAACTGGTTGGGCTAGGCGGAAAGCAGGACCAATCAGGTCTCAAGGCTGCTCGCACGTGTTTTACGCGTCATTGGTCTGATCGATAAGTCACTACCCTCTAATCGGCGGTCACAAGTTATAACAAGTAGTTTCGATAATTAGGTGAATTAACACTCATACGATTTTGAGATGGTGGAGAACACTTCACTTCTACTTGAAGTTTATGCTGATGATGTTATTCAGAAGAACGATGAAAAGTGCATGATCAAACCATCCAGCTCACAGAATAAAATTCCACTAAAAAGGGAAATTAACAGTTTATTCATTTTGTATACCTAATTATATTTAAAGCTATTTATTGAACTGAATATTTTTTCTCAGTTCTTTCAATCGACTTTAATTAAATTATTAAAATCAAAATGAATTAAATTATGGGAACTTCATTAGAACGAATTCTGTGAGTGAGATGAAATATAATAACAAGCATTTAAATTGATGGAAATGTGATCTTTTTAAAAACAGAATGTAATGACTTTGAAGCGTCTTTTGTAAAGAACTACGGTAACTACTCAGTCAGTCAGCTACAACGTAGGACCAGGCACATATGTGCATCGGTCCAAGTTGCCATACCTCATTAACACAACAAGATAAACACTGGATTCATAGAAGTAGTTAATTAAGTGGTGGTAATATATAAAAGAAAGATTGCATATAAGGACATAGTACAGGAAGAAAGAATTAGTTCGTAGAAAGAAAGATATGAAGCGATTTTACTGGGTGAGATTTCGTCAATGTTATAAACTGAAATTTACATATATACATAATGTATTATGAGACCATAGTGATAAATGACATTTTACAAACACACACACACACACATCCTCTTTCGTATGTACATCTACACATATACGAACAACATTGTAAAACATTTTTTTTCAAATTATTCATAAGATGTACAAATTTGCACTTTATTATATTGATTATGTTCACTTGTGAGTGTTAACAAGTTGTCAATCAAATAACTTTATTATTTCATTTATCCAGAATTAGTACATTCACTTATCAAATAAATATTTGATAGAGAGATATAGATAAATTTAAAACATAAGTATTTCATTTCATTTATGCTAATCATAAATTTCCCTATTTCAAAGTCACTTGTTATATCAGATGAAAGAAAGAAAATAAATCATTATAATCATACTACTTTTCTTAAATCTATTTCATGAAATACATTTTAGATTGATTGATTTAATGAACATATAAGTGTTATAACTTGTGAACATGTGTGCCCTGTTTATTGTATAACGCAACGGTACCGCCAATCCGAGAGCAGTGAACTATCGACCGAATCAGTGACGCATAAAACACGTGCGAGCAGCCTAGAGTCCTGATTGGTCCTGCTTTCCGCCTAGCCCAGCCAGTTCAGTCCAGAACATCAATCTCAGCCTCTGTAATATGAATCATTTATCTCAAACATACGGGGTTTATATACCAATCAAACAGACCATAAAATAGAAAATAACATTTGAACAATATTTGGCCAAAAGTGGCTGTGAATGAGGGAGGTAGTGATTACAGACAGGGAATAATTCAAGAATGGTAAATCGTATAATAATAGTTTATAGGTCAAAATAAAACTCATAATAAGAGCGACGTGAATATGAACAGTTTAGTTACATGAAAATTACACGATAAAAATATACTCATGGTATTGCTCCATAAATGGATCCCAAAAATTACCATTCATTATTCTTATTGGGATATAACAATAAGGAAAGTATTATTTAAAATATTGTTTTCTGAAAATGTTGCTAATTGAACTTGGGAATATTAATAAAACTGAATAAAGACAACTACCAAATTCCTAAATCAATGTCTCCCACATTCACAGCCACTTTTGGCTAGATGTTGTATAAATGTTATTTTTTATTTTATGGTGCAAAGTGGTCTGTTTGGTTTGTATATAAACCCAATATGTTTGAAATATATGACTGATATCGCGGAGGCTGAGATTGGTGTTCTGGACTCAACAGTCAGGACTAGACAGGAAGAAGGACTGATAAGGACTGTAGACTGCTCGTATGGGTTTACGTGTCACTTGTACGGTCGATAAATCACTGTCCTCTAATTGGTATCATTACATCATAACTTCATAGGGCACAAGACCACAAGTTATAATATATATATATAATATGAAATAGATATTATCAAACGTTACTTTTTATGTATATTCCATAGGGAATCGATTATCACTAACTGATAAATTACAATATTTAGTGACTGATAAATCGTTTTATCCATATACTTGAATATTCGTATGCCTAAAGTCCTACATTTAAAGGGTACAAAAACCATGAAAACGAATGTTTATGTAATATCCCGAGTTTAATAAAATCTCAAGAAGTGTGATCGTTTCCTTATTTATGAAATGATTGAAGAAAGATTCAGTTCAAGCATAATCAATTTGCTTTGATTAATGGGCATAAGGTTGGTAAATTTGTATTTCAGCGCATTCATAGATAACCCGTTTTCCAATAAAAGGTCAATGAGATTATTGGTTTTCAAATGAAGCAGTCTATCACTAAGTGTTCAAGTCACTAAGTCATTTAACAGGGCAGATGTAATTCAAGGGATGACTGTCAAAAAGGGGGAATTCTACTATTACTCAATATCAAAATGTAACGCATCAATTGTCATGATAAGGAGTAGTAACAAGAGGCGATCTCTCTGATTAAACCCTCGCAAGTAATAGCACTTCCTTTAGCTTATCAGAATTTGACACACATATATACATCTCTTCTAGTGTACTAAACCATCTCTTAGCACATATAACCAGGTTATGAGATAGCAAAAGTCTTAGAAGTTTTAACAAACCTTAAAGAATATCTTCTGAACGATATGTGAGTCCCTCAGAATACAACATGATGAAGAACCATTTCTACGTAGCATCTATTTTGTCACAGATAGGTGAGTTACAGTCTCAAGAGTGAAAAGGTACTCAATCAGGGACTGATCAAGACATTGTATAGCTGTTTGGTGGGGGTCAATATGATTAAGAGAGAAAACAAATCAACTAGTTGGACAAGATCCTATATCTTCAGAGTAAAGACAAAACAGAAGACGGTAACATTGAAAGGGATGGCTATTAAAAGAGAGGAAGTTTACGTTACACTCCAGGAATTTTATTTGTACTATGATAAAATCAACTACTGAGATAAGGTCAATCCCTGGAGCAACCGCCCCTATATAATTCAGAGTCCATTTAATAATGATACTAATATCACCTTTATAATGATATATTACACAATCATTGTTTGATGAAGTGTTGCTATACTATATTTCTCGGATTTTTCACCACTATATATATGTCCACATCCATTACATCTAGACCATATAGAGTTATTATTCAATGGTTCAGTTTTGTTTTTGAAAATTATTAGTCTATGATGATAGACTAACACAATCGAAGATTACTAATGTTGCTTATATATGACTGAGTGAATTTCCATAACTGCATGTAACCCATGTTAACTGGTAAACAAAAAAACAACAACATACTCAATGATAAAAGAAATCAGAAAAAAACGATCTGTTATATTATTTATATAATTATATTCTACAAACAAGAAATATGACGAATACATTAATAATTCTTTTCTCATCAGAATTTTAGAAGAGTAGACTAATAAGTGTAATATTGTCTCTTATACATTCCTTCTTCATCAACTTAAAGACAACCGAAAAAAAAAACACAACAACAACGACAAAGACAATAACAGTTCGACATTGATGAAAAATATACAATCTAGAACAAAATAATTAAAAGAATTGTACGATAGATTTAATACACACTTTATAATCAGTACTATTCATTGTGAATTATTCATTTATCATTACAAATAATCACATTTTAAAAATAAGGACAAAAAAAACAAAAAACAAAACGAACAAACATCAACATTAGAAAGTGATCACCATATGTGCTATATTAAAGAAAGGATACACACACATATACACGCACGTACACGCACACGCACACTAACAAACATGCACACAAAAAGATAGAGGAGGTAGAGTGAAGTTGGTGATAGTTAATTGGAGCATATTATATGTAAATGAAAAGAGTACACACATATGACACATACAAACACAGAGTTATACATAATAATAATAATAATAAAAAGAAGAAATAATTATTTAAAGACGATAGTAACATAAAATAACGTAAGATATTTTTGTGTTACGTGTGTTCACTCGCTACATTTTTTTTTGTACTGTTGTTTAAAAATAGATTTCTCGTGATATTATATAATAATGATAATAATTAATATGTACATAATGTAAGAAAGAAAAAGTGTTTTATATATAAAGGAACAGATTAAAATAATGAACAAAAGGCACTAACAAGAAAGATAACCACTGAGTAAAAGATTAATTAATGTACATGATATTATGTCACTGTTTTTTACAATTCATTTCATGATTTTTTGAAGGAAAAAAAAGAAGGTGAATATTAAAAGTAACAGTGGCAAACATTGTGATACGGCGCTATTTCATTGACTTTCTTATTATTATTAATAATATTTAATAAAAGGAACAAATAATACTTGGTATAGGACAACAACAAAAAAATGTGTTCATCATAAATGTACTAAATATGATCAGGTCAAAAATTTTTTAGAATAAGAGATCACATTAAGATGAAAAAAATTTTCTAATATGATTAAATGAAGAAAGGGTTTAAATGGACAGAAAGGAAAAGAAGAGAATGATACAATACATGTTAGGATGATTTATTAATTGATAGAAAGACGTTTACTGGTAGAAGTAGTTGTAACTGCAGTAGTACAGTTAGTAGTATTAGTAGTAGTGTTAAGTTTAACCGGTATGCTATTATTATTATTATTATTATTATTATTATTATTATGAATAACAGACACAAGTGTTTTATTAGTCCGATTAGTTTGACAACTCGGTGATGATTTTGTATTGCCACTTTCAAATATTTCTTGTAATTTACTGACCATCAGTCTATTCGATGAGTTAGATAATGGTCCACGATGTGAGCTAGGCTGTGAGAAGGAAATTATAAGAACAAGGAAAACAAAACTATCAATGTTAATATACACAGAAGTTAGTAATATTGGTTTTATGTTTGTTATTGGAACAACGACAATGAAAAACAAATAGGGTATTTACTTCAGTCCATAAGTGTAAATATGACTTACTGCAAATAATAATTCATGCAACAACGCATTATCACACACAAAAAAGACAGTTAGCCCCGATACCTGCAAGCTAAACTGTATTAATCTAATATAAATAAAAACATTTACATTTGTTTGGTTAACTGGGTTAACATTTGTATCACTGATTGTAAATAAGGGGTTATGGAAAGTGTTAAATCTTATGGAGATCATAAACAGATCTAAAATAGACCAATATTGAATACCTAGAGGCACTGGACGATCGTCTCGTCTTAGTGTAGGAATTCTCGAAAGCACGCGTTCACGACCCGTCACACAGGAATCGAGTTCAGGACCTTCGGTCTCGCGCAAACGCTTAATCTCTAAACGACTAAATTGGTATTCAACAGTATTAGTGTCTAACTTCAATCACTGACCAGTGGAGCTAAACCGTATTGGGTGTGAAACGGTTACCCAACAAAGACAATGGAAGATGGCTGCGCAATTCCGTAGATTGATTAAAGTAAAACAATAATGCCGTTTAATGCCGATTCAGTGGTCTAGAGATTAAGCGTTCGCACGAAACCGAAGGCCCTAGACTCGGTTTCTGCGTAAGGGATCGTCAGTGCGCATTTCTGAGGAGTCCTACACTAAGACGGAACGACTGTCCAGTGCTTCCAGGTTTTCAATGTTTGTCTAATTTATATTGGCTCACGATCTCAATGATATTACAGATATTAGACTACTACTAGTGCTATCATAAACAAAAATAATGTAAAGCTTCTTTTACTTAGTTACATCACTTCAAAGCTAATCATAATCAAATTAATTGATTTATTACTAACCAGTTTTTTATTGGATTTCTTTGGAGAAAACTATGCACTAAATTACATAATGAATAAACAAATAGACAGATGTTATTTAAAAGCAATCGAATTGACTAAACACAAAATAAAACGTTATAAAAGATATGCCATTAGGAGGATAAAACAATATTCGGTTGGGTTTGATTAAATTACCCCTACAAATACATGACAAGTGCACTATATTTTCTGGAAATTAATTAGTAAAGGAAATGAAAAAAACAATTATGAAATATGCATGCTTCATAAATTAAAACTGCTTATTTTGGTAATATTAAACTTTCAAAGATAAACATTTGTAATGTACATAACAGTGAACGAGAGTAGAACTATAGATCAGTGGTTGATTTGAACATTTGACTACTTATTCCTAACATCACTGTCCATACTGTTACTTAGAGAATCTTCAAGCATTATCAACCTTCACGAAATATGCCACTTATGATTGCTGATATAGAGAAAGATTTACTCATCTATACAAATCTTATTCAAATTATAGACGGTTGAAGATATCTTAAACTGAGAACAGAAATCAACTATGGAACCATTAAAGATTAAGACCTACTGAACAAATTTCTTCTCTTGTTTGCTAACATTTAAAATGTTAGCAAACGTCGACTTTATATAGAATCGAATATAAGATGTTCAGGTCTCATAGTTAGTATGTTACAGTATGGAATCGAAACTGCAAACTTCTACATAATAGAATAAGTAGCTTCCTGACGATATTCGGCTCTCAATATTCCTCTCTAGCTCAAAAAGTTCTGAGATGAAAATTATCTTCAAGTTAATCACTATTAAACTATAAGGCATATAAACTAATCCTAACTTCAGTTGAGTACATTTATGGAGAGAAACCATAAGCTTTTTAAAAAATTGTTACTAAATCATTTTCCGTACAACTAATGTAGAGGTATTAATGAATCAATACAAACACGAGATGTTTCATATGTGACTGTTTGGTAGTTATCACTGAGATAAAAGAAGAAAACTGTGGAGAATCATAGAGATTCATGAAAAAAAAAACAAATACCACTCACAAGATTCCTCTGTGTTAGATTTACTTATGTACAGAGTAAATATAGGCTTACAGATAAAACATTGACAAATGATAATAACTTAATAAGTGAATAGTCTTTATGATGCAACCTAATGTATACGACAAATCAGGAAACTACCTACGTATAGTTTTGCGAGATATCGTTTTTAAATAGTGTGCAAAAAAAGAGGAATTTCGCAACCTATAGTGACAGTAACAATTGTAGGTAAGAATAAAGCCTTAAAAAAATTCTAATGAAAGAATTCGGTAAATTTCATACTGAAAAATTCAATTGCATTTAATGCACACGGTAAAAGGTTTCGTAGCTTAAAGATTTTATATTACAAAATAAAATACGATTAAGTGAATAATAATACTCCATATAACAGTCAGTGGTGCACAGAAATGTTAAAAAGGCCCACCTGAAGCGCCCAACAATGCAAGGATCAAGACCATGAAGAGGTGAAAATATATGGCATTGGAACCAAAATATATTTTGTGAAATAATTCAATAGTGCAAATCATATATATATATATATATATATAAATATATATATATATATAAATATATATATATATATATATATATATTACTATCCTAAATTGTTAACATCCTAGGAAGAAATATGTATACAGATCGATGGTTGTTCGAGTAGTAAAAAAAGTAGTAAATAAAACTACATTGATTGACATTAACTACATATTTATTTAAAAAATGTCATATTCAGTAACAAAACTGATTAGCTGGCATTCAAACACATTACTAATAGGAATCCATTCTGATCTTAATTTATATACATTAATACTACACAGGAGAGTTTTAAATATCATAATACAATTGTATAACTAAATTTAGTCAAGTTCTAATCCATATGATTGGAGAGAATAAACAATCAAAATTGAGTAATAAGTCAGTGTTTATTAATATCTTGACAACGATCATAGAATCTTACTACTTAGACAATTTTTAAAAAACAATGTCAAACAAATAATAAATTATAAATATCAAATAACACTGAATAACTATTTTATTATAACTCCGCCTGGAGTCCCTCCGGGGGCTACTGCCTGTCCCAAGGCCGGATAAAGAAGGAGGGTTGGGCATGTGGTTAGCAACCCCATCCCGTAGAAAACTAACTCGCTAAAAAAACGCTAACCAGAAAAAATTATTTAAGTAACTATTTTATTATAGTTTAGGGATTATTATCTATATGAATTTATCTTGTAAGTTACCTTGTAAAATTAGCATTTTTAAAAACAAACAAACAAAATAAAACAGTTGTACTTGGGGGATTTATAGTTTCTACAGGTTTTACTTTTTCAGTTTATCATATAAATTATATTTGATACTTTCAAACTGCTTTTATTCAAATTTATTTCATAAAGGTAATATGAGATTTGGAGAAAAGAAATTTGTGATATAATGGTTATATCAAAGTAATCCACACAGAATGGCACATATACCAACGAAGACTGATTAAATTTCAGTCAAAATATTAACAACGGGATAATTCAAATTATCATAAATTGAATTAAAATTTATACCCGTTGAACAAGAAGGATCTGGTGCAGACGTAAAGTCATGGATTGGCAAAGCAAGGGCCGCATTCCTAAAATTGAATAACATATGGAACTAAAAACAACTGTCAACCAATATTAAAGTGAAGATCTTCGATACGAAATTCGAGACAGTTCTACTATACGGAGTTGAAAATTTGAGAATTACCACAACCATCATCGAAAACATACAAGCATTTATAAACAATTGTCCACATAAGATACAGAATCTCCGTTGGCCGAATACCATCAGGAACAGCCTACTGTGGGAGAGGATAAATCAGGTTCCAACTTAGGAGGAAATCAGCAAAAGACGTTGGGAGTGAATAAGGCACATGTTGAGGAAATCATCAAACTGTATCACGAGATAAGAGCTAACTTGGAATCTTGAAGGGATAAAGAGCACATTACGTCGGGAAATAAAAGCAGATATGGAAAGGATGAATAACAATAGGAAAAAATTGGAAGGGATAGCCCGGGACAGGGTTGGATGGAGAGTGCTCGTGGGCGGCTTATGCTACTCCACAAGGAGTAATAGGTGTGAGTGAGTAAGTAACAGCCGTGAAGTTATCTGAATTCAGTAGCTAAGTGAATAATGCCTTGAGGTTCTTAAGCGAGGGCATCAACCTTGGGATGAAGTTACGCACAACTAACGAGTCCTGACGAGTATGCAACACGGGTCCAAGATCCTATTATTGGCTATTTTCTATCTACTCACTGTTGGAAAAAAATTATGTTCTTACAATTTACCATGAAAATCCACATGCATACTTGAATTCTTATGCTACCAGTGTACTAATGCTTATTAATTACCAAAAGGAAATCGTTAATCAGAACATTAACAATCATAACTTGCAATAGAAGTATGCAGCAAATCAAGATATACATTAATTTGAATGTCAATCAAACTAAATAAACCGAAATGTACATGTACTGAACATGTTTAAGGGTAATCAGAATAGGAGTTTCACCAGACTTAGTTTTTGTCCAGCTCGCCAAATTAAAAAAAATATTAAATTATAATGAAAACTAAAAAAGGAAAACAATAGTTCATATGATTATTTAATTAAGATAGGAGTTTATGATAGACGGAAAAATAAAGATAGAGCACTTTAACTCTAACTTCCAGCTCCCTCCTCCTTTATTAAGAATATACACATAATCAACTAACCTTTTCATTTGGATATCCATTTATCAAAGGACGGTTAACACATGTTGCTTCAGTTAGTTGATTCATTCCTAATGTTTGGAACCTACGAACAATTTTCAAGTCAACCATATTACCATTATTGTTAGTAGTAGTATTGGTAGTAGTTATGGAGTTATTATTAGTATTCAAAGGATTAGCAGTAATTTCTAATTCTTTAACTGCTCTAGAAACAGCACCGAAAGATGAATAGGATTGTTTAATATTCGTTTCGTTTGAAGATTTCAATGAATTAGTTTTATTGGCAATCACCTCTTTATTAGTCACTTGAACAAAACTGAAACTTTTATTGGTAGTATTAATAATGGTATCAGTAGTATTAGAAGCAATATTATTGTTGTTGCTAGGAGTAGTAGCAGTGGTAGTAGTATTAGCGGAAGTGGAGGAAGAACTACCAGTTGGCTTAACTGGAAGAGGTAACTGGTGATCACAAGAAGAATTAACTTCATTCTAAGAAAATTGGAAGAAAAGAATACAAACAAGAAAAGAATAGGAACACTTACTATACAAAGGATAAAAATCAACTCAATGAAGTTATCTTCGTCAATTGTACTCATTACTATAAAAGGTTTGTGTAGTGTTCCATTTCGTACTTTACATAATGGAATGATCTTATACAATGATTGAAAGCACTGGAAAGATACTTCATTCAAAAAAGAAATTCAACAATTCTCAAAAACTTCCCTCCCATAATAATAATAATTGTACTCACTAGAGACTAGTTTCGGGAAGTAATTCCTGGAGTTCTATTAAGAAGCCTTGACCAGTAAAGTTCAAGCACATCGAATGTGAGGCAGGTAAACACCAATGACACTAGATGATGAATGTCCAATATTGCAAACTAGTTAGTTGCACATGTAAACAAGTAAATATCCCCTCAGTGATCCAAAGGTTAAGCACTTACCACAAGGTCTGGTGGTTCACAGTTCGAACGTTAGTAAGGGCCAGTCTGTGATGTAGACGATGGAATCAATAATACTATTTTATCAAGTGTTTAGCTAAGCCACAAATTCCATCTGATTCTGTGCTGAACATAGAATCTTTTACAAAAGTGGTTTTTATGGTAATCCAGAACGTCTAGATCTTATTTAACATCGTTCAAGATAACAACAAAAGCTGGTTAACACTTAGTCAAGATTATCGACAACAGGATAATTCAAATCACTTCTAATGATGTTGTGGTGTATGCTACTTATGTTGACAGACATCAGTAGTATGTAACGCAGTCAAAAGAGGAATGCATAGCAGCAGAAGGCTATAAAGGTCAACTTGAAGAAAACAGAAATAGAAAGGTATTGTGAATTGGAAGAATCATACATAATGTGAAGGACAAATGGTGGGATTTTGCAGATGAAGTATTCAAAGTATGGTTCTCATATTTTACCAAGAGATTCTGTAATTTTGTATTGAACAGTTAACTGGTCTTCTCCGACTGCGTTTTTGTTCGTGAAAATATTAGTGATGTAAGATCATACTCCTTCCATATTACATAATCAATCTAGGAATCCTTTTGGTAAACTTAAATGCAGAAATTTAATTACTTGACATCACAGTTTCATTAACGAATTATTGACTAGAGTAGTCCATTTTGCTAAGATTAGTATTTTCAAATAATTTCCTCAATACCTTTATCATTTTCACGTTCTAATTTATTTATAGATTTAGTTAAACAACGAACTGAATTTGAATTAAATAGTTCATATTAGTTGAAATAAATGATTTATTTGTGAAAATGGATTCCGATAGTTTCGGTAATAAAAAATAGACGCACACGTAAACCAAGTGGTAAATTGAGCAAAATATAGTGGATAATCTTAAATTTTGTAATTATAGGAATCCATGTTCACAAAACTAACTTTTGCATTCAAAAGAAGTTTATACAACTACTTTTCGCTAATTTAGTCATCGGTATACAAGTGAGTTTTAGATGGGCTTTGATCAAACAACTGTTTAATTTAATTCCTTTTTGTATTGGTCGTTTGAATCTTTCCATTGATGTTTAAGATTGTAATTAATCAGTCTTTTATTGGTATATGTACAGATACATCCAACTGACGAGTCCCAAATAAGACAGAACGAGTGTCCTGGATTCTACTGCTAGCCACTATCCATTTCTGCTTATAATTTTCTAATTTCTTTCACGCTTATATCTTTACATATTCTCAAAATCGATCCTCTGATTCTTATATAATTATAATAACTTGTTATTGAGTTTAATACATTGGACAATTTAAAATGTATTACACTTACTAAAATATGATGATGTGTTGAAGTAGTGACATGTCCAGTTGCTGCAGCAAATGCTGCACCTAATCGACCAATTATATTATTTTGAAAGTTTACACGCCAACTACCACTAACAGTAGTACTATTATTAATAGATTTATTTGAAGTAGAATCTGATAAAGTTTTGTCATTAGTCAAATCATTGAATACTTTTGAATTGATATTTGTACTCGAATTATTATTATTATTATTATTGATTTTATTAATAATTGGGGAAGAACTAGTCTTAGATACAGTATCGCAAAGTGAATTGCGTGGATTCAACTTTTTTACACTGTCAATTGGAATGGAGTAATCTGACAGGCTGATATCACTATTTCTTTGTTTATTTAGATTTTCAGCGTCTATAAAATAAATTTAAAAAATGAAACCGATTAGTAGTATAATGATGGTTATAAGAAAAAAACACTCAATAGAAAGTTATTACATCTATAACCATAAAACCTGATATTATAAAACCAAACTGTTACATCTGGAGCTTAGATTCTCAATATACCGCGTATAACTTGAGCACTCGAACGTCGTCCTAGCACAAACATATTATAAGAACCATTGAAAAGACAATTATAATCAATAACATAGGATTTTTATTTTTTTAAAAAGTGTAGAATTTTACACATCTACCAAATAAGATACGATGAATAATTAATAAGTAACGATTATGAGCAGAAACAATATGTTACTTGATTTGAAACAAGATTTCCTGAAGCTTAAAATGTTGTTTCGTGAGCTTGTGTTGTTTTTCCTCTTTATTAATAATCGTTGTATGAAAATGTATGATAACTTTGCGGAGGTATATGTTAATGACGAGAAAATAATGAAGACAAATAGTGGTGAAAACAGGAAGAAAGCTGACAAAAATCAAGAGTTTACTCTTTTTATTTGTTCTTCATTTTTGCTAGTTTCCACTACCATTTATGTTGATAACTAAATAAATGTGTATACTGTTGAAAGTGTACAAACATTTGATAATTATCATTTTTTAAAATATAGAAATTAACTTGTGTTTGATTAAAAATAAAACAGGTTACTATTGCGTAACTTTAGAGTTATAAAGATACCTGATTTAGGGCAGTGATTAGAGATAGTCTCTACGGTTCATATTCTGATTCATGAAGCTGAGCAATCTAAATAATCACAATGGAAAGTGTAATTACATACTGAACCATTGAAAGGCAATTATTTAAGCAGTCTCCCATAGTATTATTATGTAGGATCAGAATACACATAAAAGTATGCTTCATTGGAGCATTCATATTCACAAGCTCAGTGAAGCATAAAGGCACCGAGATCAGTTCGAGTTACTAAGTGAATTTTATTCATTTATTGACTTGTCCATCCATTCAATCATTACAAACAGTCACATCAAAGCGTTTTAAAACTTTGTTGAAGAAATTCTTGTGTTTCCTAAGAAAGGCGGTAGATATTGATGGCTTTTGAAGTTCCTAAGACCACTTTTACGATAATTACTTTGCAAAAGAGAAAATGCTAACTATCTGTAGACAAGTTCCTAGGATCATTAAATATTTTACTAATCAGATATACAAATTTAACTATAGACTGCTATCACGATAATTATTACTCAGAATACGACAGTAACCACTTTTAATCTCATACACCCCTAACAGATCTTCCCGATAAAGCAAGACCATAAAGAAACAAAAAATCTGATTAACCTAAAGTGAACTTGATAGTTCCGATGAGTAAATCCAACTGCTATGCAAAGAAAAGTTGTCAGTTGAAATATATAATCAGTCAATTGATTGTGATGTACTCAAGCTTCCTAAAATTAACTGATAGCGATGTACTTCACGTAAGCAATGAGAGCTTGTTTGTTAACCTCAAAGTAAAATAAGGAAAGTTTATAAAACAATGAATATCTGTATGGGGATTTGTGGAGACTGCGATATTTTGAAAATTGAATTCACGAGTCATTCTAAACTAGACCACCATCGGAAACCTGTAAACAGTGGATGACCGTTTCAACTTAGTATTGGACCACTCAGCAGTGCGCATTCACGATCTCGTACACGTCGGACAATGGATAAAAGATTGCGCAAAGTCATGGATCGATTGAAGTTAGACATTAACACCGTTGGATACCGGTTCAGTGATCTAGATGTTAAAAGTTCACACACGAAACCGAATGTCCTGGGTTCAAATCCCAAGTGTGCGATCGCGGATGCGAACTGTTGAGGAGTCCCACAATGGAAAGAAACGGCTTTCCAGTGCTTCTAAGTTTTCAGTGATGGTCTAGCTTAGATTGACTCGTGAATTTAACTCTGACAATAAACATTTGTTACATATATAGAAAAAAAGCTAATTATTAAGAATGTTAGTAATGTATCGAAAATATGCAATAAAAGTGCGGTAGATAATTTATCTAAACATTGGTTACAAGTTAATTAAGTTGTTTATTAACTAACAATAATACCAAAATCAAAACAACTGATTTACACATTTCAAAATATTATTTAAATGATAAGAAAAACAGAAATTTCCTAGTTGAATATTCTACTACTACTACTACTACTACTACTACTACTACTACTACTACTACTACTACTACTACTACTACTACTACTACTACTACTACTACTACTACTACTACTACTACTACTACTACTACTACTACTACTACTACTACTACTACTACTACTACTACTACTACTACTACTACTACTACTACTACTACTACTACTACTACTACTACTACTACTACTACTACTACTACTACTACTACTACTACTACTACTACTACTACTACTACTACTACTACTACTACTACTACTACTACTACTACTACTACTACTACTACTACTACTACTACTACTACTACTACTACTACTACTACTACTACTACTACTACTACTACTACTACTACTACTACTACTACTACTACTACTACTACTACTACTACTACTACTACTACTACTACTACTACTACTACTACTACTACTACTACTACTACTACTACTACTACTACTACTACTACTACTACTACTACTACTACTACTACTACTACTACTACTACTACTACTACTACTACTACTACTACTACTACTACTACTACTACTACTACTACTACTACTACTACTACTACTACTACTACTACTACTACTACTACTACTACTACTACTACTACTACTACTACTACTACTACTACTACTACTACTACTACTACTACTACTACTACTACTACTACTACTACTACTACTACTACTACTACTACTACTACTACTACTACTACTACTACTACTACTACTACTACTACTACTACTACTACTACTACTACTACTACTACTACTACTACTACTACTACTACTACTACTACTACTACTACTACTACTACTACTACTACTACTACTACTACTACTACTACTACTACTACTACTACTACTACTACTACTACTACTACTACTACTACTACTACTACTACTACTACTACTACTACTACTACTACTACTACTACTACTACTACTACTACTACTACTACTACTACTACTACTACTACTACTACTACTACTACTACTACTACTACTACTACTACTACTACTACTACTACTACTACTACTACTACTACTACTACTACTACTACTACTACTACTACTACTACTACTACTACTACTACTACTACTACTACTACTACTACTACTACTACTACTACTACTACTACTACTACTACTACTACTACTACTACTACTACTACTACTACTACTACTACTACTACTACTACTACTACTACTACTACTACTACTACTACTACTACTACTACTACTACTACTACTACTACTACTACTACTACTACTACTACTACTACTACTACTACTACTACTACTACTACTACTACTACTACTACTACTACTACTACTACTACTACTACTACTACTACTACTACTACTACTACTACTACTACTACTACTACTACTACTACTACTACTACTACTACTACTACTACTACTACTACTACTACTACTACTACTACTACTACTACTACTACTACTACTACTACTACTACTACTACTACTACTACTACTACTACTACTACTACTACTACTACTACTACTACTACTACTACTACTACTACTACTACTACTACTACTACTACTACTACTACTACTACTACTACTACTACTACTACTACTACTACTACTACTACTACTACTACTACTACTACTACTACTACTACTACTACTACTACTACTACTACTACTACTACTACTACTACTACTACTACTACTACTACTACTACTACTACTACTACTACTACTACTACTACTACTACTACTACTACTACTACTACTACTACTACTACTACTACTACTACTACTACTACTACTACTACTACTACTACTACTACTACTACTACTACTACTACTACTACTACTACTACTACTACTACTACTACTACTACTACTACTACTACTACTACTACTACTACTACTACTACTACTACTACTACTACTACTACTACTACTACTACTACTACTACTACTACTACTACTACTACTACTACTACTACTACTACTACTACTACTACTACTACTACTACTACTACTACTACTACTACTACTACTACTACTACTACTACTACTACTACTACTACTACTACTACTACTACTACTACTACTACTACTACTACTACTACTACTACTACTACTACTACTACTACTACTACTACTACTACTACTACTACTACTACTACTACTACTACTACTACTACTACTACTACTACTACTACTACTACTACTACTACTACTACTACTACTACTACTACTACTACTACTACTACTACTACTACTACTACTACTACTACTACTACTACTACTACTACTACTACTACTACTACTACTACTACTACTACTACTACTACTACTACTACTACTACTACTACTACTACTACTACTACTACTACTACTACTACTACTACTACTACTACTACTACTACTACTACTACTACTACTACTACTACTACTACTACTACTACTACTACTACTACTACTACTACTACTACTACTACTACTACTACTACTACTACTACTACTACTACTACTACTACTACTACTACTACTACTACTACTACTACTACTACTACTACTACTACTACTACTACTACTACTACTACTACTACTACTACTACTACTACTACTACTACTACTACTACTACTACTACTACTACTACTACTACTACTACTACTACTACTACTACTACTACTACTACTACTACTACTACTACTACTACTACTACTACTACTACTACTACTACTACTACTACTACTACTACTACTACTACTACTACTACTACTACTACTACTACTACTACTACTACTACTACTACTACTACTACTACTACTACTACTACTACTACTACTACTACTACTACTACTACTACTACTACTACTACTACTACTACTACTACTACTACTACTACTACTACTACTACTACTACTACTACTACTACTACTACTACTACTACTACTACTACTACTACTACTACTACTACTACTACTACTACTACTACTACTACTACTACTACTACTACTACTACTACTACTACTACTACTACTACTACTACTACTACTACTACTACTACTACTACTACTACTACTACTACTACTACTACTACTACTACTACTACTACTACTACTACTACTACTACTACTACTACTACTACTACTACTACTACTACTACTACTACTACTACTACTACTACTACTACTACTACTACTACTACTACTACTACTACTACTACTACTACTACTACTACTACTACTACTACTACTACTACTACTACTACTACTACTACTACTACTACTACTACTACTACTACTACTACTACTACTACTACTACTACTACTACTACTACTACTACTACTACTACTACTACTACTACTACTACTACTACTACTACTACTACTACTACTACTACTACTACTACTACTACTACTACTACTACTACTACTACTACTACTACTACTACTACTACTACTACTACTACTACTACTACTACTACTACTACTACTACTACTACTACTACTACTACTACTACTACTACTACTACTACTACTACTACTACTACTACTACTACTACTACTACTACTACTACTACTACTACTACTACTACTACTACTACTACTACTACTACTACTACTACTACTACTACTACTACTACTACTACTACTACTACTACTACTACTACTACTACTACTACTACTACTACTACTACTACTACTACTACTACTACTACTACTACTACTACTACTACTACTACTACTACTACTACTACTACTACTACTACTACTACTACTACTACTACTACTACTACTACTACTACTACTACTACTACTACTACTACTACTACTACTACTACTACTACTACTACTACTACTACTACTACTACTACTACTACTACTACTACTACTACTACTACTACTACTACTACTACTACTACTACTACTACTACTACTACTACTACTACTACTACTACTACTACTACTACTACTACTACTACTACTACTACTACTACTACTACTACTACTACTACTACTACTACTACTACTACTACTACTACTACTACTACTACTACTACTACTACTACTACTACTACTACTACTACTACTACTACTACTACTACTACTACTACTACTACTACTACTACTACTACTACTACTACTACTACTACTACTACTACTACTACTACTACTACTACTACTACTACTACTACTACTACTACTACTACTACTACTACTACTACTACTACTACTACTACTACTACTACTACTACTACTACTACTACTACTACTACTACTACTACTACTACTACTACTACTACTACTACTACTACTACTACTACTACTACTACTACTACTACTACTACTACTACTACTACTACTACTACTACTACTACTACTACTACTACTACTACTACTACTACTACTACTACTACTACTACTACTACTACTACTACTACTACTACTACTACTACTACTACTACTACTACTACTACTACTACTACTACTACTACTACTACTACTACTACTACTACTACTACTACTACTACTACTACTACTACTACTACTACTACTACTACTACTACTACTACTACTACTACTACTACTACTACTACTACTACTACTACTACTACTACTACTACTACTACTACTACTACTACTACTACTACTACTACTACTACTACTACTACTACTACTACTACTACTACTACTACTACTACTACTACTACTACTACTACTACTACTACTACTACTACTACTACTACTACTACTACTACTACTACTACTACTACTACTACTACTACTACTACTACTACTACTACTACTACTACTACTACTACTACTACTACTACTACTACTACTACTACTACTACTACTACTACTACTACTACTACTACTACTACTACTACTACTACTACTACTACTACTACTACTACTACTACTACTACTACTACTACTACTACTACTACTACTACTACTACTACTACTACTACTACTACTACTACTACTACTACTACTACTACTACTACTACTACTACTACTACTACTACTACTACTACTACTACTACTACTACTACTACTACTACTACTACTACTACTACTACTACTACTACTACTACTACTACTACTACTACTACTACTACTACTACTACTACTACTACTACTACTACTACTACTACTACTACTACTACTACTACTACTACTACTACTACTACTACTACTACTACTACTACTACTACTACTACTACTACTACTACTACTACTACTACTACTACTACTACTACTACTACTACTACTACTACTACTACTACTACTACTACTACTACTACTACTACTACTACTACTACTACTACTACTACTACTACTACTACTACTACTACTACTACTACTACTACTACTACTACTACTACTACTACTACTACTACTACTACTACTACTACTACTACTACTACTACTACTACTACTACTACTACTACTACTACTACTACTACTACTACTACTACTACTACTACTACTACTACTACTACTACTACTACTACTACTACTACTACTACTATACTACTACTACTACTACTACTACTACTACTACTACTACTACTACTACTACTACTACTACTACTACTACTACTACTACTACTACTACTACTACTACTACTACTACTACTACTACTACTACTACTACTACTACTACTACTACTACTACTACTACTACTACTACTACTACTACTACTACTACTACTACTACTACTACTACTACTACTACTACTACTACTACTACTACTACTACTACTACTACTACTACTACTACTACTACTACTACTACTACTACTACTACTACTACTACTACTACTACTACTACTACTACTACTACTACTACTACTACTACTACTACTACTACTACTACTACTACTACTACTACTACTACTACTACTACTACTACTACTACTACTACTACTACTACTACTACTACTACTACTACTACTACTACTACTACTACTACTACTACTACTACTACTACTACTACTACTACTACTACTACTACTACTACTACTACTACTACTACTACTACTACTACTACTACTACTACTACTACTACTACTACTACTACTACTACTACTACTACTACTACTACTACTACTACTACTACTACTACTACTACTACTACTACTACTACTACTACTACTACTACTACTACTACTACTACTACTACTACTACTACTACTACTACTACTACTACTACTACTACTACTACTACTACTACTACTACTACTACTACTACTACTACTACTACTACTACTACTACTACTACTACTACTACTACTACTACTACTACTACTACTACTACTACTACTACTACTACTACTACTACTACTACTACTACTACTACTACTACTACTACTACTACTACTACTACTACTACTACTACTACTACTACTACTACTACTACTACTACTACTACTACTACTACTACTACTACTACTACTACTACTACTACTACTACTACTACTACTACTACTACTACTACTACTACTACTACTACTACTACTACTACTACTACTACTACTACTACTACTACTACTACTACTACTACTACTACTACTACTACTACTACTACTACTACTACTACTACTACTACTACTACTACTACTACTACTACTACTACTACTACTACTACTACTACTACTACTACTACTACTACTACTACTACTACTACTACTACTACTACTACTACTACTACTACTACTACTACTACTACTACTACTACTACTACTACTACTACTACTACTACTACTACTACTACTACTACTACTACTACTACTACTACTACTACTACTACTACTACTACTACTACTACTACTACTACTACTACTACTACTACTACTACTACTACTACTACTACTACTACTACTACTACTACTACTACTACTACTACTACTACTACTACTACTACTACTACTACTACTACTACTACTACTACTACTACTACTACTACTACTACTACTACTACTACTACTACTACTACTACTACTACTACTACTACTACTACTACTACTACTACTACTACTACTACTACTACTACTACTACTACTACTACTACTACTACTACTACTACTACTACTACTACTACTACTACTACTACTACTACTACTACTACTACTACTACTACTACTACTACTACTACTACTACTACTACTACTACTACTACTACTACTACTACTACTACTACTACTACTACTACTACTACTACTACTACTACTACTACTACTACTACTACTACTACTACTACTACTACTACTACTACTACTACTACTACTACTACTACTACTACTACTACTACTACTACTACTACTACTACTACTACTACTACTACTACTACTACTACTACTACTACTACTACTACTACTACTACTACTACTACTACTACTACTACTACTACTACTACTACTACTACTACTACTACTACTACTACTACTACTACTACTACTACTACTACTACTACTACTACTACTACTACTACTACTACTACTACTACTACTACTACTACTACTACTACTACTACTACTACTACTACTACTACTACTACTACTACTACTACTACTACTACTACTACTACTACTACTACTACTACTACTACTACTACTACTACTACTACTACTACTACTACTACTACTACTACTACTACTACTACTACTACTACTACTACTACTACTACTACTACTACTACTACTACTACTACTACTACTACTACTACTACTACTACTACTACTACTACTACTACTACTACTACTACTACTACTACTACTACTACTACTACTACTACTACTACTACTACTACTACTACTACTACTACTACTACTACTACTACTACTACTACTACTACTACTACTACTACTACTACTACTACTACTACTACTACTACTACTACTACTACTACTACTACTACTACTACTACTACTACTACTACTACTACTACTACTACTACTACTACTACTACTACTACTACTACTACTACTACTACTACTACTACTACTACTACTACTACTACTACTACTACTACTACTACTACTACTACTACTACTACTACTACTACTACTACTACTACTACTACTACTACTACTACTACTACTACTACTACTACTACTACTACTACTACTACTACTACTACTACTACTACTACTACTACTACTACTACTACTACTACTACTACTACTACTACTACTACTACTACTACTACTACTACTACTACTACTACTACTACTACTACTACTACTACTACTACTACTACTACTACTACTACTACTACTACTACTACTACTACTACTACTACTACTACTACTACTACTACTACTACTACTACTACTACTACTACTACTACTACTACTACTACTACTACTACTACTACTACTACTACTACTACTACTACTACTACTACTACTACTACTACTACTACTACTACTACTACTACTACTACTACTACTACTACTACTACTACTACTACTACTACTACTACTACTACTACTACTACTACTACTACTACTACTACTACTACTACTACTACTACTACTACTACTACTACTACTACTACTACTACTACTACTACTACTACTACTACTACTACTACTACTACTACTACTACTACTACTACTACTACTACTACTACTACTACTACTACTACTACTACTACTACTACTACTACTACTACTACTACTACTACTACTACTACTACTACTACTACTACTACTACTACTACTACTACTACTACTACTACTACTACTACTACTACTACTACTACTACTACTACTACTACTACTACTACTACTACTACTACTACTACTACTACTACTACTACTACTACTACTACTACTACTACTACTACTACTACTACTACTACTACTACTACTACTACTACTACTACTACTACTACTACTACTACTACTACTACTACTACTACTACTACTACTACTACTACTACTACTACTACTACTACTACTACTACTACTACTACTACTACTACTACTACTACTACTACTACTACTACTACTACTACTACTACTACTACTACTACTACTACTACTACTACTACTACTACTACTACTACTACTACTACTACTACTACTACTACTACTACTACTACTACTACTACTACTACTACTACTACTACTACTACTACTACTACTACTACTACTACTACTACTACTACTACTACTACTACAACTACTACTACTACTACTACTACTACTACTACTACTACTACTACTACTACTACTACTACTACTACTACTACTACTACTACTACTACTACTACTACTACTACTACTACTACTACTACTACTACTACTACTACTACTACTACTACTACTACTACTACTACTACTACTACTACTACTACTACTACTACTACTACTACTACTACTACTACTACTACTACTACTACTACTACTACTACTACTACTACTACTACTACTACTACTACTACTACTACTACTACTACTACTACTACTACTACTACTACTACTACTACTACTACTACTACTACTACTACTACTACTACTACTACTACTACTACTACTACTACTACTACTACTACTACTACTACTACTACTACTACTACTACTACTACTACTACTACTACTACTACTACTACTACTACTACTACTACTACTACTACTACTACTACTACTACTACTACTACTACTACTACTACTACTACTACTACTACTACTACTACTACTACTACTACTATACTACTACTACTACTACTACTACTACTACTACTACTACTACTACTACTACTACTACTACTACTACTACTACTACTACTACTACTACTACTACTACTACTACTACTACTACTACTACTACTACTACTACTACTACTACTACTACTACTACTACTACTACTACTACTACTACTACTACTACTACTACTACTACTACTACTACTACTACTACTACTACTACTACTACTACTACTACTACTACTACTACTACTACTACTACTACTACTACTACTACTACTACTACTACTACTACTACTACTACTACTACTACTACTACTACTACTACTACTACTACTACTACTACTACTACTACTACTACTACTACTACTACTACTACTACTACTACTACTACTACTACTACTACTACTACTACTACTACTACTACTACTACTACTACTACTACTACTACTACTACTACTACTACTACTACTACTACTACTACTACTACTACTACTACTACTACTACTACTACTATTACTACTACTACTACTACTACTACTAATAATAATAATAATAATAATACAAACAATAGTAATAATAATACATAGAATAATTAAAAGAAGAAATACAGTTTAGCGAAAATGAAAAAAAACGAGGTGGAAGTTAATTGAACCTAACTTAGAAAAGAAAAATAAACGTAAGATGATATTTTAAGAAAATAATAACGACTCAATTATAGTGTTAACTTAATAAGAAATACAAAGAAAAAATTGTTTATTTCACCTCCAACAACGAAAAAAAACTTTTTTTCTCTTTTCATTAAACAAAAATATCCCAATAATTAAGTGGGCGGTATATTTCATAATAGAATATTTAAGACAATTATACATAGTTATAATGTTTATATGAAATAAGAAAACCTGTTTTACTCGTTTTATTTTAATTCGTGCAGTGAACTAACTTCAAATGATGACTAAATACTGTTAATTATTGTATTCAATGTAAAATACTACATTAATTAGTCAACATTCATTATTGAGAGCCAGAAATTTGAAAGAAGTTAGCGGGAAATTATCTAAATAAATTCTATGCTTCTAACTATCCCCCTTCCCACCTACTGATGGATTCGAACCATTGCCATTAATTGATCATATCAAAATTTTCACCATCTTGGCAATTATCCTACAAAACTAGCATGATATCAGGGTTAAGACAATAAATTATCTGTAAGTACTCATTGGTTAAGTGGCATCTTATAAATAGCTTAATCAACACTGAGTCTGTCAAATGCAAAGTAGAGCCTGGTACATGTGTACATCAATTCAGGTTTCCCGATCCCATAAGCACAGTAAGACGAAATTATCAGAAAAATTCTAGAGTAATACAGGTCATAACAGTATAAGTGATGGTAGAGAAGTTTATAAATGAAAGATACGATGCAGAAAGAGAATATGGATTAGTGGAATAAAAAAATTCGTGCGATAATAGAAAAACTTAGGATATAGGGGAAGAAACAGAGTGAATACAACTCTGCAGTTATAATCGATTTTGAACCACACCATTAAAATTCCAACCATTAATGACGGTAATCAAACTATGTAGTCTGCGCCTACCCGTATGACTCAGTTCAACAATCAATGTCTTCATGGACTGATATCGTGTCATATATTGGCTGTCCCTGCTCTCTTCCTAACCAACTCATACATCAGCAATCATAGCGCATCGAGGTAGTCGGTGGGTGGGCATCAATAATGCATATCCCAGCCATCTCAGTCGATAAAGTTTGACTATCTCACCTCATCTAGTAGTTTGCATATAACGTCAACACTGCAAACTCGATGGTCTCAAAATACATTAGGAATGCTTCGAATACACCTATTATTGAATACTAGTAACCTAAGAATATCTTTCATTTTTAAAGACTGTGTTTCATACCTATAAAAAAGTACAGAACAGGCTACTGGGCAGAAAATGTGTTCTTTAGGTAGCGAACGGATATATCATCTACCCAAAAAGTGACGTAACTTGGCAAAAGCCAACCGGGTTTCCTGAATACGTGTACAAATTTCGTCCGCACTAGTTGACTAGGAAAACAGTGTAGTACAATCGGTATACAGGCCGAAATTGTCCAAATTTAGGGAAATTAAAAAAAACAGCTTCTTCATAAGAAAAAAATTAGAGTGAAAATAACGGTATCTGTCAAATGATTAAATTTTAGTCCTATTTCGAACATTACGTAGGATTATGTAGGCCGCGAATCGTACATTTTTTCAAATGCTTACTTTGGGAGTTGTTTAAATGGGAGACAACAGAAGATCCAGAATTCGTTGAGCAAGCACTGGTATTTGTTTTGAAAGCTGATAGATTTTTTGCTTGTAATATGTGGTTTATGACTGTGACTTTTTCATTTTTTATCATTTTACTACCACTATTACTGTTATTCCTGTTTTGATTTGGTTGTTTTTTACAAAACTGTTTATTTTCAAGTGTTTGATTCAATGAAGATGATTCAGTTGTAATTTTGTCTAATGGCACTGTATCTTGAACTTTGTTAATAGCAGAACTATCTGGCAAAGAAAATCGTACCCTATCATTTATGCCAACAGAAGATAATGGTGATGTAGGCGAAGACAGAGACTTCTATGAAAAATAAAATAAAATAACGGATGTTGTTGATTAACGATAATGATATTGATTAAAGGAAGCATAAAATATGAGTGAACTAATTAATGACATAGGATGTGGAAATTCTGAAATATCAGGAGTTAGGTTATACAAGTTAAGGATATGTACTTAGTGAATTCATGGAATAAGTTTTATTTTGGTGTTGAGCAATTTAGATCAAAAATTCAATCCTAAACTTCGAATTGTTCTCTTGTTGGGATTCATTAGCCAAATGACTACCTAGAAATTAAAATGTATTCTTTAGCACTTTGTTCAAAGAATGATAGTTAAGCATTGTGTGCGTATTAAAGAGTATTTTCCACACGAGTGGATTAGTTAATTAAAAGTTACAAAAATCGTACTGATGTTCACTTTATCAAGATATTAACTGGGTAAATTCAACGCACAGTATTTTACTTATTAATCATGTTCACTTCCACACCTACTAGAATTATAAGCAAAGATGGATAGTGGCTAGTAGTGGAACCCAGGACGCACGTTTCGTCCTATTCGTGAATTAAGCCAATATCGAGGCAATACACACAGTATGCACATATGCCAATAAGAAACTGATCAATTTCAGTCCTAAACATCAATAGAAAGATTCAAGTAAACAATACCTAGTGGACCTACTAGAATGTTTACTGATTATATCTATTTCATTAGTTGTAGTAATATATATTTGATTATCATTTAAAATAACCAAGTATAGAGTTAATTCTTGTAGACATTTATCTAAATGATCAACATTTTCTGTACGTACATAGAATAAATAAAATACTACTTTAACGAAACACTGGTTTATTTGGCATTTCAAGATAAAACGTGAATTTTCGTTTTTTTTCTTCAAAAAAATAACATTCTCGAATTGATATGGAACAAGAATAAACTATGATGTCATAATAAAATGAACGGGATGATACGAAAAAGGGTGATAAAATCAACGGATTATTGCCTTACATCTTGCTCTTCTGTATTGTTATTATTGTTATTCAGAGATAAGACACTGGCATTTGGATTGATAGCTATAAAATGTCGTAAACTGGATAATTTTTCTTTGCTTATTAAGCTATCCCGTCGATAATTGGACTGTTTATTGTCTTTAGGCTTATATGGGAGAGGAAAGAGAAAACAAAGAAGACTAAATTAAAAAGTAAATAAAATAAACAATGTATATATGGTCATAATAACAAGAACAATGAAACCCATTAATTAACTAATTAATTAATACGAATAAAAAAACGTGGATAAAACAATCTACATCGCTCAGTAATTAGTATACAATTTAATACAGAAGATTAAAAGTTAAACAAAGATTTTCCATTAACAGTAATACACATGAATCGAAGTAATATCCAGTTGTTCAAAATCTTTGGCTACCATTCAACTTGATCGGCAGAGTTCTATCAGTATTAAGATGAATTAGACAAATGTAATATATCACTCAGTAAGTAAATTAATTTCTTAACTATCCTATATATTTAGTTAAGATTTCGTCTATTTCAATGAACTAACTCGAAATTAGACTAGAATGCCTTAAAATAAGTTCCCAGTTACAAACATCAGAAGATTTTATTTAAATACAAAAATGGAAGTAGATATGTTTATGTGAAATAAACCTATTTAATGAATGATATGCTTAAATAGATAATACGATAATCAAATTGAAATATTGGATTATTCACAAAAAAGAAAGATTAGTTAGTGAACCGAGCAGAATTATTAGCCATGTGTATAGGGAAAAATAAGTTACAAAGACGTTACATGATTGAAATACATTATTTAACGTAAAAACAGAAACATAACCGAATTACTTAAGTACTTAGACATACAAAGTAAATAGCACTGGGCGGGAGGTTTTTTTTTACAGGATCTGATGAAATAATAGAAAGATACAGTAGACGGTGTTAAACAGGTATCAAAGTCAATAAATATAGTCAACCTATAAGTAGTTTGTTCTGTTTAAAATTAGTAAATTTTACTGACTTATTTATTCAATGATCAAATATCACTGTTTCTTTTTTTAAATAATCAAATTAAAACATAATATTACGGAATAAGTGTTGTTTCTTTTGTGGAGATAATACTGAAAAATGGTTTCTTTGGTTTATACAATTTTTCTAAGCAATAAAATGATATCGATGTATATGACGTGGAATAACGAAATATTTTTCGTAGGGGAGTGAGGATAGTAAAAATTTCCATTTTATTTTATTTAACTTCATTTATCTATACATTGACTACTCTTAGTTGGTCTCTCTAACATGCACAAACAATACTTTAGTTAATGATCACATCATGTTCACTTATAAATACCTTGTTTTCTTTGTTCTTCTAACCAAAGCAGATGATGATTCTTTTTTCTTGCAATAAGCAATATATGGTTAAAAATGGGGAAGTATGAATAAAAATGAAAAAATCAATTGAAATCTAGCACACACAGTATCATTTACCTACCTGACTACAAGTCAAATCATATGGATCTTAATGAGAAAAACATAGAATTAAGAAAATATTGGTAGTAGATCATTTTACACTGAGATATTGGTAACTCATTAGTGTTTTCTTTTTTTTCTCTTTTCTCTCTCTTTATGGTATAAAAATCTTCTCTATTTTTATTTTAGAAAGATAAATGGAAACAGTTGTCAAATAGTAGTCCTGTTAAACAACTATTTCATGTTTATTGATAATCGAAACTGCGAACAAACTGATACATTTTCACATACTTGAAACGAACACGATCATACGTATATGTTGAAGACGTGGTCGATTCACCATAAATTATACAAATAAAGGGCTATATCATACACATAGATCATTCAGTTGGAAAATAGTTACTATCACACTATATCATCTTTAACAAGTATCGGATATTTTACCGACCAATAATCTTGTTTTGCCTTTTTTAAATCTGACAATTTAAATTATTTTTCAAGCGGATAATTCTTTCTGTAAAATTGTCAATGTTACATGTTTGACTAGTAGGAACGAAGGTGGATTTATATCCTATAGAAACTGCAAATTCTATCATCATAGTTAATTGTTTTAAGTAATGATTAATTTATTTTCAGATTCTACTGAAATGTGAAATTTCGAAGTTTGCTTTAGTCTTGAAAGATACTCAGCTGCTGATTAGTGATAACAGTAAACAGAACTAGGCAACGACCATATGCTACAAAAAAATAACTGAATTACACTTCAAAAATACAGGCCAAATTACAGAGTTGTGGTTCATTTATTCTGTAGAAAATTCAATTATTTGAGTTTACTTGTCAAATTACTACTAAACAGTATAACTAACCCCCAAATACTATATAAATTTCTTAATTTACGAATAATTAAGCTTCAAAACTAGTCATGATCGAGTTTATTAATGTTAAACTATAAGTCCTGGGTTCGAATCTCGCGAGGCGAATTCGTCGATGAGCACTGCTGAAGAGTCTCACAATAGAACGAAACGGTCGTCCAGTGCTTCCAGGTTTTCCATTGTGATCTAGCTTCAATTGATTCACGATCTCAACTATTGAAGTTAAACTATTCAGTTAATTTTTATTCTTTTCTTTCATAGACTGATTTTATTTTTCACTGATATCAACTTGAACATATCTCATCCATAAACAAGAATTCTTACTTAGATAATTATTCACTTTCAAGAGATTAACATATTCTAAACAGTTATTCAAATAAGGATGTTTATTGTTTTAATCAGTAGGATACTTTTCACAGAGTGTAGGATTTAATTTAAATCTTAGTACGTACATTACAAATTAACATAAGTTATTGTATGCTCGTGTATAATATAGGAAATATATTAACCATTACCTAAGTATTCTGTATACATTTGAAAAAAAGAGTTAACTTCAATTTCGTTGGGTGTTTTTTCTTTCAATCAAATGTTACCTGTTGAATTTTGTTAAAAAGTTACTTATTTAGCATATTTCTGTTGTAGACAGTTGTTTTTCCTTACGGTTTCTGTAACAAAACGTTATATTAAGTCAGATGTAAAATGTATTTTAATATACGCTTTCTGCATTTCTCAACTTTTACAGTCTAAAATAAATTGTATATTACAAGGTGTAGTTTTTATAATGACAATAGTAATTGTGTATAAATATCAACAAAACTTGACTGAATAGTTTGGTACAAACTAAGGCTAGGAATGTTTCAGAGAGAAATAGTAGTATCATATTCTCAAAATCCCATTAAAATAAGGGAGGGGGAATGCGTAACATCTTGAAATATTTTGATCAAATAATACATAAAATCTACAAGGAACAATTTCATGTTCTACAAGATTACATGTATACTATCAACAAAATGACTGGTTTCCACTATGAATCTTACATTCAACCATACCAAAATCAATGTGGATTATCACTTTTAACTTAAAAGATGTCGTTCAGCTAAGCTTTATCCCTTATTTGAGTATATATCACTGTTATTCTTGTGTCTTTATGCCCGATTAATTGTATCACGTGATACGATCGCCAATTAGTGACACCGACTTATACGACTAGACCAATGACTCACAAACCTATACGAGTAGTCTAAAATTCTTATTAGTTCAGCAAGATAACAGCTTCTATCCTAACCCAGCCGGTTTAGTCCCGAACGCCAATACCAGCCTCCGCAATGTGAATCATATATGATAGACATAATGGGTTTATATACAAACAAACCAGACCACATTATACCGGAAATAGAAAATAATAATTATACAAGATCAAACTAAAAAGTTTCTGTGACTGTGAGAGACTGTTACTGATAGTAAATCGTATGATAATAGTCAATAGGTCAAATTAATGCTTATAATGAAAGGAATATGAATGTACATACAATATAATTACTTAACAGAATATTTGTATAATATTAGTTCATAAGTAATTCCTAACGGTTACCGTTCATTTATCTTCATCCGGATATAACAGTTATTACATTGTTATTTAAGTAGGTGCATTATTCACGTGTTTGATGGAGCGGCTCCTATGAAGTTGTTAAGTAAACGAAATACTAACCCACATATTGCTAGTATCTTGCAATCACATTATTTCTATGATAAAATGATTTTTTTATCCACGTGAACTGCTCAATCACTGTACAGGCATGACATAACTTCAGAGACTTATTTGTTCATTCGCTTCCTGAGATGATTGTTTTTATCTTGCATAATAACACTTCCTTATGAAATTCCAGACATTAGATATTGTTAGTAAAACAGTAAATTTAAGAAAGGTAAACAATACTGCTCACTAGACAGATCAGATGGAAAATAGATTTCCGAAAAAAAATTGTACTAAATATCTATTTATTGAATTTCTGATAGGAAGACAATTGAATTAATCCCATTAAAGGAGATATGAAAAGTAAACAATGTGTACTTGAACGTGTAATATACGTTAAGGCCAGCAATTAGTGTAGAACGACTAAACCTTTCAAAATTAGCTCATATTATGCCAATTTGTGTTAATAGCGAGATATTTTCAATATCTGAAATACATGTAGCACAGGAATTTCCTCTCTTTTACTCAATCGAATTTAAATATAACTTTTGAAGATAAGTGATAATAGAAATTGACATTTATTCAACATGGGACGTTTTCGTAACACATTGTTTTTTATTCACACCAAAGTTTTAACTTATAATCAAGAAAAAAATGACCCACTGTTATGTAAATATATGACAGAAAACTATATACTTACATTAATCCAAGGGTGTTGAAGACATTCATTAACCGTAGATCTTTTTCTAACAAAAATAGTAACATTTTGAAAAAAAAATTATTACAATCATGATCATGATTCTTTGATGTACATTGAACGGTTTTAGATAGCTCGATAGTATACACGAGTGTAAAAATGATACAAGACTTTAAGAGCAATATCTACTGACAGCATAATCTAACTATAAAATTTATGATGACTTTTGTTAAATTATAGGCGCTTACAGACTACTATAAAAGCTTCTATTAGACTACTGCATTGAAATGGTTGACCTTACTCTAGTGAAATCTATACAGAGCATTCAATATAAAAGTAGCAAAGATATCCTTGTCATCGATATTTCTACAATCACCACCATCATCGTTAACAGTAAAAATCTACTAGGGTGAAAGCCTAGTTACGGTTCTTCTTCTCTGAGCTGCTGTTATTATGTTTACAAAAAGTAAGAATAAATTGACAAAACACAACCATATCCGTATCCACAAATTATATGACTAAACGATTAATACTTCAAATACACTAAATGATCACAATTCTTACACATTGTTCGATTCAAAAATATACATTTAAACATACTGTATTCTATTTTCAAACTGATCAGAAATTACTATGGTAGAGTATTCACATCACATTGCATCAATATTTCAGAAAATAAAATACAAACTAACTGGACTTAAAATTCAAATTTGGTAGATAGAAAAAGTTCATAAATAAGCGACATTGTCAGTTAAACATTTAAACAACTAACGATCCCATATTCTGTTGTTATTTTAATTTCTGATTGATAAAAATAAATACATAAAATAACCATTATTTCTCTTTTTATTGGTTATTTGAATCTTTTCATTGATGTTTAGGACTGCGATTGATCAGTCTCTTATTGGCATTTGTGCATTCTGTATGGTTTGCCACGATATTGCCAATAGGTTACAAACATTATAATCAAAAATGATATAACACAAAATTAATGAAGTCATATTTGGATATTGTAGATTTTTATAGTCGAGTTCATCAGTCAATTAAACCTAGACCACTATGGCAAGCCTGGATGGCCGTTTCTCCCTATTATGGGACTCATCAGCAGTGTGCGTCCACGATCCTGCCCGCAGGATTCGAACACGGGATCTATCGGCTTCATGTGCGAATGCTTAACCTCTAGATCACTTAACAGGCATCCACCGGTGTTAATGTCTGAATTTAACCAATTTTAATTTTTTTTTATCTCTATCACTAGCTTAATTGCTTTCGTTTCTTTCTCACTTTAAAAGTTTCACATTTATTTTTAATTATAATTAGGATGAACGGATAAATTTTTTCTCTCTTTCTTTCCAGATAAATTGAGTAGTAATTTTTTTAGGATTTATTTTTTGAGGAAAAAAACTAATTTCAAGGAAACTCGTCTGTTGTAGACTAAGGAAACAAAGTGTCATACTTTAATTGTTCAAACAGCTATATTCTTTTGTTGGATAAACATCTATGGTTGATGTTCAGTTACATAACTTGGAAAGTCATCACTTAGTAATGCGGAAATAAATATTATCTAAAATTTTGATACAGCGAAGACCATATAAAATTTTTACAACTGACTGATCACTGAGTAGTGATCAGTCTCATGTATGTCAAGTCTTTCTCAATGCTAATCGAATTCTATTAATGTAGTGGCCGTGTGACCAATAGCCTAAGTAATACAATATCGCAGTGCACTATATTGAGATATAAGGTGGTGGCCTGATTTAATAAGAAAGAAACCCTGAAATCGCTCGGAAATAGGTATTTGTGCAGGGTTTGAGTTGTTGCTTGTTGAGGTGCTGTGGGCAAATCATCAATGATATGGCTTCACAATCATCAACAGTCAAATAGTTGCAGATATATTATGCTTAAATTATTTCAGTAATATGTATTTTGATAAACTTTCTTATTTTTTAAATATATTTTGTATGTTGTTTTATTTATCTTTTAAACAGTATGACAGTTTGAACTGGTAAATGAATTATGCTTGACAGTTTGTTAACTGAGGAAAAACTTTAGTAAATAAAAATAGAGGGATTATATTTATATACAACGGTAGCAATTAAGATAATTAGTGACATTTCAAATAATAAGCAACAATAAATGGAACACATACAAACATGCATCAACACACACGCACACAGACATTCGTGGAATAACTGGATTATTCATATTCTTCTTATCATTATTATTAATATCCTTTTTATAATAACGAATGGAATGTGTTTAACATGACCTTCAGTCTAAATTCAATCAATAAAATAATTCTTTCTCCTTGATTTTCTTAACTATAAGAAAAAATGTGCTAATTTCGATATAGAAATTAATCAATTTAACAAATGTACACATGAATGGAATTTCTTTTATGAATGGGATGGACTGGTCATGTATAATGGAGTATGTGTATTTCGGTATGTGCACACATGTCTACGGAATATATATATAGTTTATCTTATCAAGAGTCTAATGAAAAAGTTATTAAGGAAAAGAGAGATTGTTAAAGAAACAGATTGAAATCATGAGTCAGTTGAAGCTAGACCACCATTGAAAACCTGGAAGCACTGGACGGCCGTTTCGTCCTAGTATGGGACTCCTCAGCAGTGCGCATCCACGACCCCGCACCACCCGGGGCTCGAACCCAGGACCTACTGGCTTCGCGCGCGAGCACTTAACCATTAGACCACTGAGCCGGCATCCAACGGTGTTAATGTCTAACTTCAACCAATCCACGAAGTTGCGCTACCGTACACCATTGTCTTCAGTGAGTTCCTATCTCACAACAGACCTGGTTGAACTCCACTGGTAACGACTTCTCACTAGAACTCCAGAAGTGTCTCCTGAAGTCAGTCACTAGTGAGCAGTTGATTATTATTATCAGAAAGGGTTTTGTGGAGATTTTTAGAAATTTCACAGATTGAAATCATGAGTCAGTTGAAGCTAGACCACCATTGAAAACCTGGAAGCACTGGACGGCCGTTTCGTCCTAGTATGGGACTCCTCAGTGGTAAGTAAACATTCCCATATGAAACAGTTTTTTGTCAATCAATGTATTGGGCAAATTCGATTTAAACGATAGATAATCATATAATGAAATGAGATAACAACTATTGGATTTATTCATACATTCATATATACATATATATCCACTTAAACTTAAACAGGTCTTTCAAGATATAATCTAAATGAATAAATAAATCGTATATATATATATATCACAGTTTAAAAGTACATTTCGAATTGTAAGAGAAAAAACACAAAGAAATTCACAAAGAACTAAACCTAGTAATATTACATAAGATAAACATGAATATTTGACACATGAGAATAAGATATAAAACAGTAACAATAATAAGAACAACATCAGAACTGTTCCATTTCATTCAATTGTTCTATGATTTCAAACTATGTTTTCTTTTCTATGTATTGATTCAATCACTTTTTTGCAAATGAAAAGTTTATTATAATTCATTTAAAGATAAATAAACCAGTAGAAATACATTGAATAACATTCGATCATGTAGAATGTTGTTTTTAATTATTATTACAACTACCTTATACATAAAAACAAACGAACAAACACAAAACAGATCTGAGGCATAAATTCAGTAAATAACCAAACTGATAGAATAGAACGATACAGATGATAAAGATGTGAATAAAATATAGAAGAAGAATATTAACAGTTAATAAGTTATTATGTCAGTTCAAGAATTTCATTTCAGCAAGGGATGTTGAGAGAGTAATTCAAAACACTGATAGACTAAGAAAACTAATGTTCAGCATGTACGCCTTAAACTAGTCAATAAATTCATGTACATTGTATACAACTGATTTTTAAAAATAATAAAACCTAATAAACATGCTTGATTTCATTACATTCTTTATGATAGGAAACAATTCAGTACTACAAAACGTTAGTTAAAAAACAACAACAAAGAAACAAAGAAACGAACAAACAGAATGATTAGAAGACAATGACAAAATAATGAAAGTCAGTCGAAACACCTGATGTATTTATTTACATATTTAACAAGTTAACTGATTAAAACATGTTTTGAACTTGATTAAATCTATTAAATGAGTATAATCAATTAGATGATTAAAACATTTATCCCATTTAATCAAATGACATTTCAATAACATCATGAAGAATTACTGAGATAGTATTCTGGTGTGATAGTACTTATACAAATTAGACAGTAATTATTGGTCTTTCACTTAAGATAACTACATTTTATCAGTATAGAGTTCTGAACATTATTGAGTTTTTAATTGAGATTTTGAACTGGTCGGTGTTAGACCATTATTGAAAAATTGAAAACACTGAATGGATGTTTCGTACTAGTATAGGACTTCCCAACAGTGTGCATTAACATTGTTGGATCCCGACTCAGTGGTCTAGAGATTGAGTGTTCGTGCATGAGACTTAAGTTCCTCGGTTTGAATCCCACGGGAGTGATCGTGAATGCACACTGTTGGGAAGTTCCATATTAGGGCGAAACTGTCGTCCAATGTTTTCAGGTTTTTAATAGAGGTCTGACATCGACCAATTCATGATCTCAATTAAAAAAGAAATTTTACCTTTGAATATCTATCGTGAACAAACAGAAGAAAAATTATAAAACAATGTTGATCTTTAAAAAATATCAATATCAAAATTAAAATATTGTTGGCTTTTTGTAAACAACAGCGAAATTACATGAAGAGTGGAATAAAAACGAGTAATCGTAAAACAGTCCACGCAACATCACTTGAATAAACCCATGTGTACAAATGTAATACCATAGGACTAGTAATTTAACGATTAAAGTACTTAAGTTTAAATTATTGCACCATAGGTACAAGTTTCGAACTAATTACCTAGGTGAAAAACAACGAATTTGTATCATCACTCACACTTTTACACATAATCTTAATTACGTAACACCCACATAACAAATATATATATATATACGAGTATTACCTGGGATTTTTCACCAACAGTTTCTGAATAAAATCTTTAGCTAGATCACTAACATTTTGTATTTCCTCTCTTGAATAATCAACAATACAATCGAGAATATTTTGAAATGTTTCAAGTTGTGTATCTCCAGCAAACGGTGAAATACCGGTCAATCTGTATTTAAAAAAATAGAGCGAAAGAGAAAGGAGAACAAAATATGTCAATAACAGTGACAAGGTAAAATAAATGACTATGAAAAGAAATAGTGTTCAATGAACCAACAAGAGAAAGTGAATATAGTCTTTTTTTCTACCATTACGAAAATACATGGTTGGGATACGTGATGAAAAATTGATTTTAACCTAACCTTTTCATTTCATATAAAACTTGTCTATGGTAAATACTTAGATTTGTTGAAGGATTATTCATATAACAACTCAATTCCCAATCTGTGACTACGTGTGTTCAAAAATAATATGTACTTATGCTAACCCTAACCTGGCAAAAAATAGACTTATTATCCAAAGTGATGTGATTCATATTGTTTTCATAATCTTCAGATTTGTCAAATCTGACCTTTATTTTTCAGATAATATTGTTCAAAATGCGTTGTGCCCATATGTAACATAGTTCTGATAAACTTTGTCTTTTCATTATCTTGTCTAACTTTATCAAAGGAACTAACTTATATGAATATGCATCAAAATATGAGCAAATAATTTATCATAGATTAGGGTCCCCAGTGTAAAAAGAGATATTATACATAAAAATCACATTTAAAATAATCTCAGCAATTGAAATCTAATCTCTTAAAGATCCCCGTCATATTAAAAGACTAGTATTTGAACGAAGAATATCCTTTTCGATAAATTCTCTTCAGGTTCTACAATTATATATCCCAATTAATAATCCAAAAAATGGTCAGGTTAAGGGAAAAATACATCGTTTAAAGCATGTGGATTTGGGATTGTGATAAACAAAATAACAACAACAACCTGTATTAACAATAAAATTGGTAATTTCACAGGTTGAAATCATGAGTCAGTTGAAGCTAGACCACCATTGAAAACCTGGAAGCACTGGACGGCCGTTTCGTCCTGGTATGGGACTCCTCAGCACTGCTGAGGTGGTCTAGCTTCAACTGACTCATGATTTCAACCTGTGAAATTTCTAAAACTCTCCACAAAGCCCATTCTGATAAAATTGGTAATGTTGATATGACTCATATAGAATGTTAACTTGAATCTGCATATATGTTAAGTGAAATTTTGAGATCCATGATCAGAATAAATATGGGTCAAGTAGGGTGAAAGAGAAATAATAGTGCAATTAAGATCCGATCAAATAAGTAATACGTCATGCGGAGGGATGAATGCGAAGTGAATGAATCATGTATAGGGGAGATTAATAATGATGTTTAACCAATAATACGAATAATAATAATAATAATAATAATAATAAAACAAAGATTTATGAATAAAGATAACAGAGACAATTACAATTGACCACGAAAGGTCATGGTCAAATGAGGTCATTTAATAGTTAAGATTACGATCGATTAAGTGGCGTTGATGTTGGCCAGTGGAGGAGTTGTTGAATATATTTCTTCTGTACGCATAGCTCCGGTTTCTTCATCCGGATGGCTACTCCTTCAGATTCAAGTTAACATTCTATATGAGTCATATCAACATTACCAATTTTATTGTTAATACAGGTTGTTGTTGTTATTTTGTTTATCACAATCCCAAATTCACATGCTTTAAACGATGTATTTTTCCCTTAACCTGACCATTTTTCGGATTATTAATTTGGATAGATAATTGTAGAACATGAAGACGATTAACTGAAAAGAATATTCTTCGTTCAAATGCTAGTCTTTTAATTGAAATTTGGATTATTACAAAGCCCCCCCCCCAACTGGTCTGAGCATTTTTAGGGTAATAATCAAAATTATCAAATAATATATAAACAAACGATGAAACAATGAAAGTAATAACTAGTATTCTTTAAAACAAAAGATGGAAACAAGAATTTCTACAAATGATGCGACCATATATATATATAATAAGTTAAAATAAGTTAAAAGTGAATATGCATACCAACAGAAGAAATGAAACAAAATAATAATAATGTGACAGAGTAACAACAAGAAAAGAAACGATGAACCCCATCATATGACATTTTTTTATAAAATAAAACGAGGGAAATAGAAACAACGATGAATAATAAATCTCAATAGATAAAAGAAGCATATAATATAACATAATGCAAAAAACAACAACAGTATATTGCATCAATTCCAAAATGAATGTTTATTACCGTCATCAAGAATACTTTTTTGAAAGGTAATAAAACGTCACAAGTGTATCTTATACACGAGATTATCATATTTATATATTTCAATAGGAATTAGTTACATAATCCATTGTCATTCATATGAATTTATCAATCACGTTGAATATTTTGGAGATTCTTAAGAAGATAAAATTAACTATAAATTAACGTGTTATTTAGAAAATGTTCACTATGTATATCAACAATATGGATTCCGGAAAAAATTAATTAATTAATGAAGACTTAAACAAATGGTATTATGCAACTTTCTATACTAATATTTGAATGAATTATACCCAGAAAATGAATGAACTCGAAGGTATTTAAACAACCTAGTTGAAACCAACGATAATGAGTACTATATTAAACAATTCGGTAAAATAAGATTAGTAAGGAATATGTCGTTAGATTGCTGACAGACATTGTTACAATATTTAGGCATGACAACAACTCGTAGAAAAGTGGTAATAAGAATTATTATATCTCTAATACCAAGTCAAAATATCTACATTTCTAATACCTTAACCTATTACAATTACTATTAAGACATGGTTGGATTTTCAGAAATGAAACTTAATGGAAATATTTTACAATAATTATTGATTGTAGCTAATATGTGATAATCGTAAATTATTTAGGTTTTCCTAGGATGAATCAACGTTAGTTTTAAATCCGATCATAGGGATATTCTCAATATGTTCTCATATTTCTATTAATGTTACAGTTACAGTGATATGACGAAGAAAGTATTAAGCCTTATATTTAGGCATCAGTTCGATCGAAAAAGGAATAGACTATAGTTGACATAAATGACTTGCAGTCATGTTTATTCTTGTTCTCAATGTTTTGTATTTCAGTGTGTTATTTTTTTCAAGGGAAATTCTATTGTACAGACAGGTGTATTATCTTCCGGTATCAATTTAGTTGGGGACTGATAGCGATGATTTGATTTTTTGAAGCAGCTATTACTCGGTAACATGCTATCAATCCATTTTATCTATCGACCAGTACTGAATTCATTCATTTTAATAATGCAAAACTCATGCAATATTCATCATAAAATCGTAGTGCACAACAAATACGTACAAAGCTAAACACACTAAATTTCGAAGCAGAAAAAATCAGACTTTTATTCTTCATAATGATCTACTTTTGTAGACAAGGTAGCTAGTATTAAGAATAATAATAAAAAACATATATGTGACACGAATTATGATGTTTGCATGCAATAATAAAATAATGTAAAGTGTTTTGATGACAGAAAAAAAGAAGGGACTTTTCTATTTAAAAGCTTCCATAAATGTCAGGTGTCATTACCAAAGATTAATTAGATATTCGCGAATAAATTGAGCATTGGATATATTTAAATTATAACTGTAATGTTCCATTGAGTAGAAAATGAAATTTCTGACGTTTCATGACAAATTAGGTTGATGAAAGTTTAAATAGTCCAGTAGAACACAAAGTAGAATGAATTTAATGCAATAAAAATTGAAATGTTTGATCATATTATTTTGGCTAAATTTATTCTGCATGTATTTTTTCTTTCTGTTTGTTAATAGATATGAATGAATTGAAATTTTGAGAAAAAAAATCTCATCAATTTCATCAACTGTTCACTCTAGAAATAAAAAAAGGTTGCTGTTCAAAAACTCGGCGAGACTATAATTTATGGACGAACAAATTTGAAGCGTCTGAGGGATTTCAAGGCCACGGCGCCAATTTCAGTACCTGATGCTCACGTGAGACCGGTTCACAGCGGATTTCAGAAAAGACGTGATAATTGACTGGTTATACCAAATGGGACTACTAAGAAGTTACTTTATTTGTGATTGTGATAATCAAATGACTTGCGGACCTTGTACAGACTACCGTAATGATGTTGTCTTTCAATGCAACATGTATTGGAGGAAAAAGTCTGTTAGAATAGGATTTTTTCGCTCGATCCAGATTGAGACTATGGCAAACTTTGACAATTGTTGAACACTGGATAAAAAAACACAAGTAACACTGGCTACAGCCGGGTACTATAATATATACAGATGATTGGAGTGCGTATAGATGCATATATAGACTTGGTTATGTGCATCGTATCGCTATCCATAAGCGGAACTTTGTGAACTCAACCACTGGACTGTACACAAACAGTACTGAGGCTATGTGGTCGAGGTTGAAAGAGTTTTTCCCACCTTATCGTGGCTCTAGATGCAGACTGTCATGGAGCCATATTGATGAGTCCCTCTACCATGTGCATTAGGATTTTAGAAACTCTGAACCTCTTTCAAACCTTGACAAATTTTTTAACCATGTAAAAGAAGTGTGCCCACTTTAATTCTTTGGTTTTGCATAATATATTTTTATTCCATATTAACTGTTTTTGTATTGGCTAATTTTTCTCAAGGTCACTAAAGAGTCGTTCAAAGGTCGTCGATAAATTGTAGTCTCGCCTCATTTTTCGAGGACTCTTCCAAAAATAAAAAAATTACACTTAACTAGGATACTTAGCAGCACAGGATAACAAATTATAATCTGTGACAGCGAAAATCAATGTAAAAATTGTACAAACTATTGTCATGAAATTTAGAGCATTTCAAACCTATTTCTCTGACGACTTTAAAAAATTTCCAACTTTAAGTGGTTTACTTCTTACAATTCTGTTTTTATTGTTAAGTCCAGAGAAATCAGACTATTCAGCTGTTTAGTCAACTCAAGTGTTGCTAGAGCAATGTGTACAGACGATTTACCAAGATTCTCTTTGCTAGTAATTATTTGGACGGTGGATCGAGTGTTGTAAAACACAACAGACCATATAAATTTGGTTTTTATTAATCGACTGTTAT